ATTAACAACATAATCTACCTCATATGCCTAAAGTATGCTTTTCATCAAAATTACAAAAAAATAGTCATGTAGGCCCTAGCTGGTTTGGTTCAGTGGATAGAGCGTCGGCCTGCCGACTGAAGGGTTCTGGGTTCGATTCCCATCCAGGGCACATGCCTGGGTTGCAGGCTCAACCCCCACTGGGGGTTGTACAATGATTCTCTCTCATCAATGATATTTCTCTCTCTTTCCCCTCTCCCTTCGTCTCTTAAATCAATAAAAATATATTTTTTTAAAAATAGTCATGTAGGCAACAAACACTTAGAGATTGTCTATGACACAGTAGATTCCAGGAGTTTTGGATTAGGTTTGAATCATAGTAGGCCAAATAAAACCACCACCCACCCACCCACCTGTGGTTATTTCCCTAGTGCCTGAATATGTAACAAGAATAGGTATACTTGGCAACTGGCACAATACCTAAATTGATCCTCAGATTCAAAGATCATTAGGGTAAGAATGGTCAAGTAGAAATCCTTAGAGATATTTTGAAAAAGCAATATCACAAAGATGGGTACCATAACCAAAAACATGAAAAATGAAAAGATGGTGATAGCTATCATGTGCCATTCAACTTGCCTGTTTGGTCTATAGAGAAGACGGATGAATTTGGAGGACTGTGATTATCATAATCTTAAATGTAGACAGGTAGTGACTCCAATTGCAGCCGGTATCCCAGATGCCATTATTACTGGAACAAAACAAAATAACCCCTGTAACCTGGTAAGCAAATGCTTTTTTTCTCCATATTAATTTGCAAAGAATCCCAGAAACACTTTGCTTTAACCTGGCAAGATTACAAGTACACTATCACAGTCTTGCTTCAGGTCTATGTCAACTCTCCTGAGCTCCAACAAAAAGTTAGAACCTGCCGAAACCGGTTTGACTCAGTGAAGAGAGCTTCAGTCTGAAGACTGAAAGGTCCCGGGTTCGATTCCGATGAAGGGCACGTACGTTGGTTGCAGGCACATCCCCGGTAGGGGGTGTGCAGGAGGCAACTGGTCGATGTTTCTCTCTCATCGATGTTTCTAGCTCTCTATCCCTCTCCCTTCCTCTCTGTGAAAACTCAATAAAACATATTAAAAAAAAAAAAAAAAGTTAGAATCTTAGAGAACTCTTTAGAGTCAAAACTGAGGCTCCTGAGAAGGGGATACTGCCCAGCTGGTGTTTTAGTTTAGCTCACTCCCTGCACAAATAAATATCCCAAGCTACCCAGTCAGCGTTTGAACTAAATACTAGTGTCCTGACTTTATGAGCTCTTTCTACCACACTATACTCCCTGACCAGTATTTTCTGTCAGGGGGCTAAAATATTCTAACTTCCCTTTCAATTAAAACATGAAAGACAATCTAATTACTATTCTCTTAAACAGACAGAAGTAAATTGTGGATTGTCTTTTCTGAGAAAATCCTTTCCCACCCCACACGGGGTAGAATCCTATTAAAACATCGTATAACAAAGAGGGTTTGGGGGAGGGGGGACATTATGAATGTTCTATTTTTATAGATGTTGATTACACGGACAAGTCACCATGAAAATTAATTGAGCTGTGCATTTACGATTGTTGCACTTTTCTGTATGTTTTTATATGGGGATTCATCAAGATTGCAAAACTATGCTGCTGCCTTTCTAAATGGTAGAACTTTACATTTAAAAGGGTGAATAAGATGCAAGTTAAACCTTGAAAAAAACCTGACTTAGAAAAAATTCTTTCGGCAGCAGTGAAGGGTTTGACAGCCCCTGCCCCTGACTGGCAGTTCCTTAGGGCCCCAAGTCAGCCGCCCCGCCCCCTCGATAGCTCTGGGCCCTCAGCGTGCTGAGGTGGTGGTTCCTGTCTTTCCACGTGGAACAGACGTCTTACCATTGCTCATGGGTCTTTCCCCATCCCAACAGAATGCAGATCATAAGGAAATAAAAACACAAACAAATTCATCAAATACCTTGATATCTGCTTAAGAAGCACAGGTCACATGGGAAAAGAAAAGGGGGGAACCACCATATCTCCTTGGATGTGATGCTAGTGGAGAGATGAAAGATGGAGTGTCCCAGAGGAAGTGCAACGTCAGGGACCTGTTCGTGGAAATCCAACTTACTGTCCAAGGCAACGTAAGAGACCTCCTCACCCATGACCTGCCCCAGCTGTGGGAGAGGCTGAAGAGAAAGAGAATCAACAAGCGGCTAATGGTACAAACCAGCCATCTTCTCTCTGTGAATACTGGCGCCCATACAACTATCCTACTAAGGCTCCCTCACCAGATGGCAAAGAGACCAAGGCAGGTGAAGTGCCTTCTAGAACCCTGCTCCAGCCGCCTAGCCAGAGCAGTGCTTCGTAACACCAGGCCCCCCAGAAACCCTCACCGTCAGCAAGTGACCTAGAGAAATAATGACCATTCAAGCAGGAAAACAAAAAGCAGAACATGACCTTACCAACACCAAAGAAATATGCAAACAATAAAGAGGAAGACTAGCCAGATGCATGAAGATTTGTGAAAGAATAGGCAAAAAAAAAAAAAAAAAAAAAAAAAAAAGACTAAAAAAAAACAAGATGTGGACATTAGAATGTTTATGATTATTGTTTACGAAACCAACACAAAAGGGAGAATGTCAGCCAATGTTTCCAGCTTGTTTTCTGGAAATGCCTGCCTAGAAGACAAAAGAGCAGCCTCCCTAGTTTCAGCAACCATTAGGTTTATATGTTTTTTTTCCTGGTTTTTACTGTTTCAGCAATACGATTTGAAAGAAGAAATATTAATACCACATGGAGAGAACCCCAACCAAAGAAATCTGAAATATATGGTAAATGCTTTTTCCACCTTTTTGGATGCTAGTGCTAAACTTCCAATGTGATTTAAAAAGAAATTTTATGCCCTTATTTATTTCTAGGGTAAGGGGAGGATAACATTTTTACTTTCTTTTTTTTTTTTTAATATATTTCTATTGATTTTAAAGAGGAAAGGAGGAGAGAGACACAGAAATATCAGTGAGAGAATCATTGATCTGCTGCCTCCTGCACACCCACTAATGGGATGGAGCCAGCAACCTGGGCATGTGCCCTGACTGAGAATCTGAATTGTGACCTGGTTCACAGGTCCATGCTCAACCACTGAGCCATGCCAGCCAGGCACATTTTTGCTTTCTTATGTGACTCACTGAAAATGTGCACCATGAAATTCCTTAAAATTAAAATGTTTATGCCGGGACCGGTTTGGATCAGTGGATAGAGCGTCGGCCTGTGGACTGAGAGGTCCCGGGTTCGATTCCGGTCAAGGGCATGTACCTTGGTTGCAGGCACATCCCCAGTAGGGGTTGTGCAAGAGGCAGCTGGTCGATGTTTCTCTCTCATCGATGTTTCTGACTCTGTGTCCCTCTCAATTCCTCTCTGTGTAAAATCAATAAAATATATTAAAAAAAAAATTAAAATGTTTACCCTTAAAAAGAAAAAATTATATATTTAAAACCTCAATGATCTTTGGCTTATGTGGGTATCATATATTAAAATTTAGAATATTAGAAATCATAATAAAATAACTTAAAGTAGTTCTTTATGTATTCATTTTAAAAATAATAAACGCACTAAATGTTAACATAAATACTGAATTTTTTCATGAAAAAAATAGCTATTTTCCAAAGTACAATCCATTTAGAGAGAAAAGCCACACTTTTACATTTTACTACTCTCTTTAAGGTCTAGCTTCAAACAGATACCAGCTGGAGTCATGTATCTGTTTCTGCATTTAATGTTACAGTATCACTGGTTATGTAGCCTCTGGAAAACGCCACTGTACACTTGTGAGAAAATAAGTGTGAAAAAGACATCTGCATATTATGAAAATAATTTTGACCTGCAAGTGTGAGGAACCCTTGGGGTTCCTGGACCACACTTTGAGAATCTCTGATTTAGCCTACACGAGAAAATACCAACTACTGAATAGGGCAGGAGAAAAATGTACTTCTTTTCAAATCAAGGAAGCAGTATCTTGTGCAGATTATCTGTCCTTAATCTTAATACAGTAAGATTCCCTTTTTCCAGGTCAAAACTCCTACCAAACAATGATTTAGACTGGGCTATAAACTTCAGTGCAAATGAAAAATATTCGTGAGGTACAAGAGTTTATTAAAAAAAAAAAAAAATCATAGTCTATAAGAGGTACAGCACAGCCCTAGCTGGTTTGATTCAGCGGATAGAGCGAGGGCCTGCGGACTGAAGGGTCCCAGGTTCCATTAAGGTCAAGGGCATGTGCCTTGGCTGCGGGCACATCCCCAGTAGGGGGTGTGCAGGAGGCAGCTGATCGATGTTTCTCTCTCATCGGTGTTTCTATCGATAACTCTATCTCTCTCCCTTCCTCTCTGTAAAAAAATCAATAACATATTTTTTAAAAAAAGAAAAAAGAGGTACAGAATAATCCTCAAGACCCAAGCCCAAGTTCCAGGCCTCCACCGCAATAAGGCAAGTAAAGCAATAAAGCTAACGGTGAGGCTTTTGTTGGGGTGCGGGTGGGAGGTCCTGCCTTCAATTTGTAAAACAAAACAAAACACGCCCCATCAGGAAGCCAGTAAAGCAAAGCGCAGTGAAGCGAGGTAAGCCTGACTGGTGTGCCCAACTTGAGCTTTTTAAGTGTTTATACACTTTCCCAAAAAGGAAAGCGATGCGAAACTATCCTTCCTCCAAGCAACTAAGTCGGCCTCGCTCCCCGGAGCTGTGTCCCCAGGTGACTTGTAACCACTTTGCAGGAAGCGGGGACCGTAGGGTCCCAGGTTCAGCTCCCGGAACTGATGCCCCCCATCCCAGGCACCGGTTCCGGGAGCCCTTCCCGGGCTGCGGACCCCAGCGCGCTCCTCCGGCCTCAGTTTCCCCGCCTGCACCGGAGGGGTCGGTGGAGCCGACCAGAGGACTCTCTCAGCCTGGAGGCGGCTCGGCCGTCCTCACCTGAGGGGGCCGGTCCGCGGCGCCCCGCACTCACCCGGCTGACGCTTCAGCGCCATCACGGATACCAGGTAGTGGGCGATGTCAAAAAAGGGGAACATGGACAGGCGAGAAAAGGACATGGTCATCTCGTCCCACGAAGAGGCCATGACGACGACCTAAACACGGCGACCCAACAGCCGGGGTGACGGGTTCCCGGCTCACGCGGCAGGAGCTGGGGGCGGGGCAGCCTCCGGCGCGCTCTTCAGTGCGGCCTCCCGGAGCCCTGCGCGTGCGCACTGGCACCCGCGTCCCGGCGCGGAGGGGCGGGCCGGGGTCTGGAGGGGCGGGGCCTAGGGTCTGGAGGGGCGTGGCCGAGGGTCTTCAAGGGCGGGGCCGAGGGGCGAGAGCCACTGCTTTCGGGGCGGTCGGCGGGTGGGCGGGGTGAGAGCGTTCTGGCTGTTTCCGCGGGGCCTGAGCTGGTTCTCCTAATAAGGGGCCATCACCTTCTCGGTGCTGGGAGCTGTGCCAGGCCATGGAGATCGGGCAGATGAATAAGACATAAATAGTGAATTTATTTAACATTGTTAATGTTAACATTTAGTGCATTTATTGTTTTTTAAGTGAATCAAGAACTATTTTAAATTTTCCTGTTATAATTTCTAATACACTAGTTATCCATATAGGTAACCCACGTATACAAAAACTTTGTGGGAGCCTCAAGAAATATTTTTAAGTCAGCTTTTTTTAAAGATTTCATTTGCATACATTATATTCGCCCATTTTCATCTATTGTTTCCCATGATGTTGGACACCTGCAGTCTAAAGGGAAGGACCCTTGGAGTTGGGTTTATTCCTGCAAATTGATCTCATTCACCTATATTTCTAGATCAACTACAGGTTTATAGCTGCATAAATCACACCATGACTTACTGGAGATATAAAAAAGAATGTAATTAATATCCTGCCCTCAAGAAACTTATGTTCTCCCAAGAGAAATTCTTTTTTTTTAATTATTTAATTTGTACAGAGCAGGTAGTGAGAAGTATAGGAGCCATGCCAAGGCAGTTCCTAGGAGAGGAAGATTATTTCAGGGAAGTGGTTAGGTGAACTGGCCTTTAAAAGCTGGGGTAGAGACTGTGGGAGGTATTTGGGAAGACCACAAAGGGAGAATGAGGTTGGAAAAGAAGTCCTTAAAAGGCAGACAATAAATCAGGAGGTTTGACTCCAGAGTCTTAAGTTCTTGATCACTAAATGTTAGCAGTACAAATCAGAGCCAGAAATCCAACTCAACCATTATGCTAAACTGGGTTTTAGCAGTGGGAGGTGCAATTAAGCAACAAAATTGGGAATAGAAGAGACAGGGAAGATGGAGGGTATTCACTGGCCCAAGCAAAAGGGAGTGGAGGCTGAGGACAATAGGAGCAGAGGCCCAAGTGGGGGAAAATCAGCAGAAACAGAATAAGGATGTCAACTCAACTTGCCAAAGATATGGATATGGGGAATGGGTGAGTAGGATTATGGTTACATTCAGAAAACTGGAAACTCTTCAGTCCACAGGCCAACATTCTATCCACTGAGCTAAACTGGTTTCGACTGGAAACAAGTAGGAGGAAAAACACAAATTTCGTTTGGTACATATTTTTATTTGATATGTCAACAGATTATGCTGGCCCAGGAAACTGGAAATGCATAATGAGTTGCTAGATACGTAAGAGCTGCATGGGAGTATGCACTGCAAGCATGACTTACCTTGTTTTGTTTTGTTTGCTTTGTTTTTTAGCTATTTAGCAAATGCTCTAGAGTCCCCATTTTGTACATTGTAGCATTTGCCTGCCATCGCTGGCTATGAAGCAAGGATCTCCTTTGGAAGGCTACTAGCCAATCACACGGTAGCAAATTAGACCACTGAATAGTAGACATTCTCCCAGGTCTTAATTCACTGTGTGTCCAGCTTCCAACTAAAATAAGAAACTTGGAACTTGACCAGGTCTCTAGTCTACAAGTCTAGAAATTGGAACAGCTGTCTCCTAAAAGGCCAAGTTCATGCTCATGAACGGATATTAACAATTTCTGTGTAAAGTAGGTGGAAGGACAGCTGTCCTTTAGGCAAGTCAGTTACTATTTGATGAACTATTTTTAGAACAGCCTACTTCTCATGCTCCTTTTTATATTATCCCCCTCCTCCCCCACAGAAGCATGGGCCAAGTATTCCATACATGATTCATCCAGCATCATATTAAGGTTCACTGCTATGTCTATTGGTACCTCATATAACCCCTGTTCCATGACATAGTCATCTACCAAAAACTAGGCTTAGAAAACAGGTCATGTTGTATGTCCTTCAGAATGCCAAAAGCTTAAAGATCCCTAAGGCAATCGTAGCTCTTAGCTGACGAGGATAGGGAGCTGGGAAAGTGGACAAAGAGTGAAATTGAAAACTTGCTGCCAACTTCTGCAATACTTCAAACATATGGCATCCTTCCACTACCCCTTCCCAGAAAGTCCAAAGATTAGCCACTACTTGGCCTGGAGAACTGGCATAGAGCCGCGGGAAAGAACACCATAGTGGAAAGTTAGTATCACCTACTAGTGCAGAGAGTTAGGTCTTCATGACCAGTGAAAGACAGACAAAAACTGGTAAATACCTCCATATCTTTCTAAGAAGTCCCAATACACCAAACCACTAAATCTGCAACTATTTGACCTTTCCTATTAAAAAAAAAAACACACCAGCCGAAACCGGTTTGCCTCAGTGGATAGAGCATCGGCCTGCAGACTGAAGGGTCCCAGGTTCAATTCCAGTCAAGGACATGTACCTTGGTCTTGGGTACATCCCCTGTGGGGGGTGTGCAAGAGGCAGCTAATCGATGATTCTCTCCCATCGATGTTTCTAACTCTCTATCCCTCTCTCTTCCTCTCTGTAAAAAAAATCAATAAAATATATATTTTTTAAAATAATAAATAATAAAAAACACACCAAACAAACATTTTATCGAGGTATGCTCAACATACAAGAAGCTGCACATATTTAATATATACTGCTTGGTACGTTTAAAAATAAGTATACACCCGTGAAATTATTACCACTAACTATGTCACAAACATACCCATCACCTTTAAAAATTCTCCCGTTCTCTCTTTTTTTTTTTTAATGTTTTTATTGATATTTTTAAGAGAGAGAGAAAGGAAGAGGAATAAAATATAGAAACATTGATGATAGAGAAACATTGATTGGCTGCTTCCTGCACACCCACCACTGGGAATCGAACCTACAACCTGCGCATGTGCCCTGACCAAGAATCGAACCAGCAATCTCTTGGTGCATAGGACAATGTTCAACCCACTGAGCATGCTGGTGGGGCCTCCCATCCTCTTTATTTTGTTTGTGTTTGCGATAAGAACCCTTAATTTAAGACCTACCCTCTTAGCAAAATGTTAAGTATGTAACATATTCTTGTTAACAATAGGCTCTAAATTGCAGTGTAGATCTCTAGGACTTCTTTATCTTTTATAAGTAAAACTTTGTACCCTTTGACTCATAACTCCCTGTTTCCTCCTCCCTCCAGCCCCTGGCAACACCATTCTACTCTCTGTTCCTGTGATTGACTAGTTTACTAGTGCCCTGTTTCCCCGAAAATAAGAAAGTGTCTTAAATTAATTTTTGCTCCCAAAGATGCGCTAGGTCTTATTTTTAGGGGATGTCTTTTTTTTCCATGAAGAAGAATACGGTACGCATTTATTGTTAAATGAAAATAAAGGAAATTTATTACCTGTATACGGTACGGTAGTACGGTAGTTGTCAACACAAACCAGACAAACTGTGAATCCTACAGTATCAAGAATTTACTCATTTATTCAATGACAATCAGGTCATCATCTTCTGAAACATCATCATAACAATCCAATTCCTGAATTTCCTGGTGAATTTCTTGTGACTCCATTTCTTTCAGAATCAGTGGACCAAATCTCTCATGTTTAGCAATAGCACTGTCTTTAAATGAGTACTTCTTGTCAAGGTAGCCTGTTCGCAGTGCATTTGCAATGAAACTGTCAGTGATTTTTCTCCCATGAATTCTTCACCCATGTCACAACTTCTTGCAGTTAGGTTTCACAAAGTTTCTGAGACAGAACCTAGGGAGAGCCTTATTTTCGGGGGGGATGCTTTATATTTCACTCAGAAGGAAACCTGTAAGTAGGTCTTATTTTCTGAGGATGTCTTATTTTCGGGGAAACACAGTAGATTCCTTATGTTAACAATATCATGGAGTACTTGTCCTCTGTTTATTGTACTTAGGAGAGTGCCCTCAAGACTTATCCATGGTGTTGCAAATGGTAAGATTTCTTTCTTTTCTTTTTTTTTTTTTTAGTTAAATAATATTCATGCCGAAACCGGTTTGGCTCAGTGGATAGAGGGTCGGCCTGTGGACTGAAAGGTCCCAGGTTCGATTCTGGTCAAGGGCATGTGCCTTGGTTGCGGGCACATCCCCTGTAGGGGGTGTGCAAGAGGCAGCTGATCAATGTTTCTCTCTCATCGATGTTTCTAACTTTCTCTCCCTCTCCCTTCCTCTCTGTAAAAAATCAATAAAATATATTTTTAAAAAATAATAATAATATTCATTGTATCACATTCTTTATTTATTCATCTCTTGATGAATGGGGAGTTTTCAGCCATTATTCTTTAAATAAGCTTCCTGTCCCTTTCTCTTTCTTTTGTTTCTGAGACTTCCAACATGTGTATATTGATTCTCTTAAAGATATTCCATGAGTCCTGTAAGATTTCTTCACTTTTTTTCATTCTTATTTTTTTGTTCCTCCAACTGGATAATTTTAAATGCCATGTCTTTGAGTTTGCTGATTCTTTCTTCTGCTTGATTGAGTCTGATATTGAAGTTCTTTATTGAAATTTCCAGTTCAGTTGCTGTATTCTTCAGCTCTAGAATGTGTTCAGTTCTTTTTTTTATGAAGTTCTATCTCTTTGTGGAACTTCTCATTTTGTTCATGTATTGTTTTCCAGGTTTCATTTAGTTATCTATCTGTGTACACTTGCACTCACTGAACTCCTATAAGATAATTATTTTGGATTCTTTGTCAGGCAATTCATTTTTGGGGTTGGAGTCAGTTACTGGAGCTTTATTTTGTTCCTTTGGTGGTATTTGTTTCCTTGATC